TCGTTCCCCTCCGGTGCCACGGTCCGACAAAATGTAATTTACCTGTAATGCGATATATGCGTGGTTTTAGCCGTTCGCCAGTCATGCGAAAGTAACCGTCGGGAAGTCTATATTCACCATTCTGCTTAGCACGCTGGCATTCTTGTTTAGTACATCGACTCTACTCGAGGGCACAGGGGACAAAACGAGCACAGCCGAGCGAGCCACATTGCATGACCCAACCCACACGCGTTCTTCTCGACTCTAAAGCGACCTTCTAACCGACAAGCTCATGACCCGCTCGGACCTTGGACCAGCCCTCGACCGACCCACACCGTCGAGCGCGCTCGGGTGTTCTAGGTCCCCCCTCGCTGCGATCTCTCCACGTGCCCAAAAATGCGGGGTTAGGGGGTCTTCGGGCCTAGTTCCTGGGTTCGTCGCCTGATGATCTGAGCCCGACCCGGGCGATCTCGATATGAGGGGGATTGTCGGAAGGAATGGTAAATGTCGTATTTCTGTGTGCGGGGGGATAAATAGGTTTGAGGGTTAAATTGGGGGTCTGGATAATATAATTTGTGTGGGTATATGCGTATACATTTCACTTTTGATATCGCATGAAAAGACAACGATGAGGAATTATGTCGCCACATGTGTCTAGTAGCGGTAGAATCTCAGGCTGACGGGCCCGAGGGGTACGATACGCCCAGTTATGACCAAGCTGAAATGAATATGGTCAAGCACGAATCGACGATGTGGGGAAAGCGTCGGCTCTTTCCGTCGATTTCGCTGCGGTCCTGGTGAGTAGTCAATGCAGCTACGACTCAAAAGCGATTGCCACGAGCTTGAATATATAAGATCTGCGCCGGGGTGGCCACCCATTCCGCACAATGCTTCGGCGCTTGGCGCTATAATCCCCAGCGAGGTCCCAGCTCTCATACAATGCGTGAAGTACATCATCTCAAGAAGTTCGCCACATCACCCAGCTACATCTAGATGCGAGAACAAGGATAGATAACCATTCAAGCCCTGGTGGCTCAGTTGAGAGCGATAGACTGAAGCGTACCACTCGCAAGGTGGGCGCCAAACTCTTTAGCATGTGAGTAGACAAATAGGTGAACGACTTATATCTTACTTCGTTTATTATATTCACTTGTGTTCGCCCAACATTCACAGTGCGGCGCACTTAAACCTGAAAGTGGTCTAAACAGGTAATAAGTCACGTGGACTGCCTTTTTTGGAATGCATTATGCAACCCGCATCCCTCGCGTTACGAGCCAGTTCTCAATGCCCTCAACCATCCCTCCCCCTGCACCTGAAGCATCGTAAGCGTGTCTCGGGAGATTGCAAGAGCCCTCAGCTACTGTTTAAACATATGGAAGAGAGGGAAATAACTGCCATATCGGGTAAATATGTTCTTTTGATTTTGCCCAACCTCCCGACGTCTCCCCGAGCTGCCGGAAGGTTTCTAGGCTAGAAGAAATGTAAAAAATGACTGCCATGAATCGGGATTGAACCGATGACCTGTAGATCGCAGAAGATTCAAACCCGATTCGGGACGGTCTTCAGTCTATCGCTCTCCCAGCTGAGCTACCACGGCTTAGGGGATTAGCTACAAGTGAATCTACGACAGGCTCGCTTAGCGATCAAGGGCTAAGTTGATTCTAGACAGTGCAATTTGACAGTTCAAGACTAAGTTCCATGGGTCTGATGAAATACCTTAGCCGCACTCGTTGAGGGCTCCGAAAGTTCCGAAGGCGACAAAAGCTCTAAAGCCTCCGAATGACTCAGCAACGGACATGTGTAGCATTAAGTAATCACTCAGATAGCATACTATTCTGACGACCACGTTAGGACAGGACGATGTGCTTGGACGACGAGTGTACGGCTATATGCTCCTGATTTTTGCGAGTATAACGATGTACTAGTACATAGAACTATAAAAGATAAAGCTCTAACTACCTTACTGGGTCGGACCGTGGCAAGCAGAGTCGCATGACAGGCACCATCACACCTTGTGCATATAGGCTAGAGTAGATGTAGGGTGATCTCCTTGAAACTCACTGAATAGCTTGCACTTGTGACAAAAGGATGTTCATACAAGGGCAATCCTAAAAACATATGTATGAATTACATGTAGTTTCAAGAAGTGATTCAGTCCTGCAATGCTCCGTAAAAGGCTTGCTAGCATACGGCTTAGTTTTTCACTTTTACTTTTGTACCTACCGGGGCCCGTATACGTTAAGGTAGGGTGGTACTCGTCATGCGACTCTGCTTGCCATGGTCTGAGCCAGTGGCTAGATAGAGCTATCTTTTCTAGTTCTATATACCTCATTACATTCGCAAAAACAAGTGCATACAACCGTGCGCTCGTCGTCCATGCACATCGTCCTGCCCTTGCGTAATTGTTAGAGTAGTAAGCTGTCCGAGTGATTACCTAATACTATACATGTCCGTTGCTAAGTCATTGAAGAACTTTAGAGCTCTCGGCGCGTTCTATAGAAATCAAAATGTATTTAAAGGGATAAAATCGTAGATACAAGAGAATATGTGAATGAGGGAATGAGATGGGGTTAGGGGGCTCGCAGAGCCTCTATTCATATCCTGCGATTCCTGGTGAGTCAAACCAAATCGTGGTTGCGCATATACTGCGCATACACACTTGACTTGATTACTGACTCAATATTCTACACAATTCTACGACATTCGAGAGGTTTCTACACGTTCGAAGCCTTTGGAGCCCTCAACTTTGAGTGTAATCATTGTGCTAGACTGCGGGTATGTCCGATTGGGGGCAATGCGTGGTATTTGAGCCCGGTCTCTACACCAAGTCAACAACGTGACCGAGCGTCGTCCTTCCAACTCATACTTCCCAGATCAAATGGTATCAATCAAGCAAAACCACAAGACAGTCATGTGAACAATACTTATATGATGCATACATGAGCCCAAGGCCGCACGACTCCGACATCAAACCTTTCGGTTGCAAGTTACGCCTGACAGGAGCCTACACAATTTCATCCGCTGCTCTCCGGCACACTTTCGTTGCAGATCGTTCCCTCGGTTTACAATAGCTTTCAAACTCATCACGAATCGAACACAGGCTCGGCATCGAGTGTCTGAGGATATCGCCTTCTTATACATAAAATGCGCATAATAAGATCTCAAAGCTCCCCAGATGGTACTTCGCGTGTCTAGACTTTCGAGGTACCTCAGGGCTATAAAGTCACGAGCAGCGGGATCTCATACAACGTGGCCGAGTTTTAGTCTAGGATGTTGCATGTGGTCTGCGATCAAGTGCTCAGTAGGCTGGGGTGTGTATGCGAGACAGAAGACTATATACCCATAAGGGGGTGCGAGCGTAGACCGTCTTGCCCAGGATAACGATTGAGCTAGACTGTGAGCCTCGAGTTGACTATCGCTTTAGCTCTTGCAAGGTTTGATTCGGCGGAGCTTGTCGAACCAGCACACTCATACCGATAATAGGTAATACGAAGATCCGACCACACGTTTAAATATCTGGACTTCATAATATTGCGAATAATATCATGACTACAGTATCGACTCCGATTACAGTACTAATGAACATATTTCATCACAACCAGAGCACCTTTTGAGATTTATGGTCGAGCTTTGTTGTTACGCAATCCATCACACGCCTCAAGTGGGTACCTTGAATGGAGATCGAAGTAACACCCTGGAAAGCGTGTTTCTTCGTCACAACTTCATGGTCAGAGTCAGAAGATCAGACAAAACGACGTAATCCAAAAACCTAATATGTGTACACGTAATAGCTCGGCCTGCGCTGAGATGATTGTATATGTTGGCCTGACAATACGTAATTATGGGTTTGGTTCGGTGGTCGGACGCGTGAA